GTCTATATTTAAATTATTTGTTGGTATTAAAATGAAAGTCTCCATTATTATTCATAAATAGCTTTTTAATCAATATCTATGATTAATAACTGATCTTCCTTGAAAAGCGTATGATATCAGGAAGAAATATGATTTATTGACTTGTATAGATGTGTAGATGTTTCCAAAAATAGATTTCAACTTTCTTCTCACTTGAACAAGTTTTAAACGGAAAAACTTAGTTTTAAAATAATAATGATAATCTACCTTCTATCGAAAAATTTGAGACTGATGATCTATTTTCCTCAATCAGAAAATGAGATTTTATGTTTTATTAATATACAAACAAAAATAAAATATATTCTTTCAATTAATTTTATTCTAAATCAGTGAAAACATTATAAAGAATAAAATAATGATTTTTTTAGTTATGTGAACTACTAATAAACACTTGAAGGAGATACAGATGAAAAACATTATTTCGAGGTGAGAAAAAAGTTTTCACTGATGAGCATTTCTCTTAAAAAGTTTTTGACTACAGACTTACTCCTAACATAACCAAAGAATAATCATATCAATATGAATTCTAAGTCAATTCATAAGAAAAAATGAAAGTATTCAAACTAAATATGTGCTCCTTACATTATGGAAAAGTATTGTTGATTAAGATATCATCTTACTTTTCTCAGAAAATCGAAGGAAAATAGTACGTTGATCATAAACACACAAAATGAACATTTTGTTTCCAATCTAATGAAAATAAGCACTCATTGAGAAACGCAGTCCGAAGAAGTAACAGAAGTTTGACCGAAGATGAACAAGAAAACTAAGAATTTGTAAAATCTTATTCGATTAACTAGGACATTTGTGTATCTGGAAAGTTGACCAGAAGTTATCGGATATTGGCGCTCTCTATCACTACTAAGAATTATTAGTCTACACTGATATGCGATTCATTGGAGAGAAAAAGTTTCTTTCTTTCTCGCGACTATTTTAGTTGTTTTTTTTTTTTTGACAGTCGAAAAAGAATAACAAATCTTATCGATTAAGACAATTAAAAATATTGTTTTTTAAATTTGAAACGAATCTATTATAATATTGGTAATTGTTGTAAGTGATAAGAGGATTTTCAAAATGACAGATCAATCTTTTATTTTTGCTGTTTAGATTTACAATAAATGGCTGATACAGAAGCATGTTCAAAGCGAGAAAAAAAATACAAAACATCATTTTTAAATGTTTCTCAAGAAGAAGCAGAATCAATACTTGGATTTGAACTCATTAAATTTTATGCTTCTCAAATGCCGATTGAACAATTTATTACAACAACAGCACCAGAACAATTGAAGAAAAAAATATTTGAACGATTAATTGATTGTATTGTATCAGAAGGATTTCCAGAGCCAGCACTTCCTTTATTCAATGAATCGGTCGTGACAGACAACATTGGAATGATTTTGATAGCGATGGTTTCTTATTTTAAACTTACGATGGGTCGTGATGACTTAAGATTATCACGAGAGAAAAAGATCATCCGTAAGGACGAACAATTTGGTGGAAACATGGAATTTGTCAGAATTCAAAAGATCAATGTTGGAAAGAATTGTTATGTACTTGTCGTCGAAACAAAAGGTGATTCAGTTGGAAAAGGACTTACTCAACTGTTATTGGCATTAAAATCTATGTGTAAGATAAATAATGATAAAAAATTGGTGTATGGATTCTTAACAACAGCAATCCAGTGGCAATTAGTGATATATGATGGTCAAACATGGAAATTATCAGAACTATCTACTGTTTTACTTGCAAATATGAGAAAACAAGAAGATCGATGGTTGAAAAATAATACACAAATATTAGATGTCATTTACAGTATTTTGTCATCAATATAAAATTTTTTGTTGTTATTATTTTTTTTGAAGAATACGTAAGGACTTATACATAAAGTTTTTTTTTTTCTGAAAGATCTTTTCTTGACTAATTGTTGACTTTTGTTTAATAAATCATGTATGAAGATGTTTCAATAAAAGATGATTATATAATAAAGTTTTTAGTCATATGGCAAATGAATTCCAAGCAAGATCATTTGTATTCATGTCTATCGACTCTTTATCTGTTGTGTATTTCGATTCCATAGGTCTTGAATTGTTCATCTATATAAGATTTCGATCAAATCTAACAATTGTATTTAATCATCTCAGATGATAAAACTTTTCAAATGATTAGTTAAATAATAAACAATAATCAATAGTGAATTTCTTTTGAAAATGATTTTTCTACAAAAAATAAAGAAGAAGAATTTGTAAAATATTTTTTTTCACTCCTTTGGTTATGGGGTTTTTCTGTTAATAAAATTTTATTTTTACTAAAAAGCTTAAATTAAAATAGACTGTACACATGCATAGTATTACTACACAATAACATTATGAATATTGCTAGTACGAGAGCACTTCTATAACCTGTCTAAGCTAGAGAATTTTATAAGGTGATCTATTTTATCCTATCCTATAGTGATATAGATTGTAATTAGAGTCGAATAAATAGAGTTAGTGTATGACAATCTTCACATCCACTCTAGTAAAATTTGAGATGATGCTTCAAAAATTTCTCACTATATCTCATAAGTGAACATCTTCTTGTTTATGTATGAGAATATTTTGTCTTAGTAGCATTCTGTATCATGTTATTCTTCTCTCAGAATTGAAAAGTTTTGAGTATATCTGAGAAGTACGATTTATATAGGATTGATTAGGACACGAATATTTGAAAAAATCATCGTATAGAATAGCATATAAAAAAGCTATGCTGTTTTAGGCTTTACTAAAGCAGAAAATTCTAATTGTAAGAGAAACATTCTAAACAACAACTCATTTCATATACCAAAGGATTAAATTAAATGAGGGATTAAAATAATATTATTGTAAAAAAATCGAATTAATATAAATGAAAATTTATTTAAAATAAGACATTTTTCATTAAAGATTTGATTATCTTTTTCAATAAGCATCTATGAATTTTTTTTTATTCAATTGATATTCTATTTGAAAATGAATAAATATTTATGATAATTGACATTATTGGAAAATGTCTTACTTCATTAGAATATATATATTTTTCTCTTAATATATTAATTAATTGTTAAAACAATTCATAATTGTATTTTTGTAGAGGAAAGAAGAATATTTCAAATAAAAGTCGAAGAAAATCATTATGATGGATTGAATTTTTATTTTGAAGATGTAAGTTAAACATTTTCGTTTATTAAATAATTCATCTTGATTCTTTTTAGTTAATTGTCATTGAATATCTGAATTAACAATAAACAAGTAAATATCTATTTATTTTATTTTGATTTATTTTTAATAATTATTCTTATTTAATAAAATTTTCTAAAGAATTTTTTAAAAATAAATTTCTTAATTAATTTTAATCAATTCATTATTATCGATTTGTTGAATAAATCCATGTTTAGGTAAAATATTCAGTGGATTATTAAAATCGACTATCATGCCTTGGTGTAAAATAATAATTCGATCATTTTTACCAACAGTAATTAATCGATGAGCAATAGTTAAATATGGTTCTATTTTGAAATTTATCTGCAATAATATTTTGAATTAATCAATCAGTTGTTTGGTCAAGATTAGCTATTGCTTCGTTAATCATTAAAATTTTACTTTGTTTAAAAATAGTACGTGCAATATATATTAATTGACATTGATCTGCACTAAAATTACTATCAGATTCTGATACTAATTGATGAATTTCAGCTGCATTATTAGAAACTATATGTTTCAATTGAACTTATTCAAGTGCTAAAAGATATTGTTCATCTATATATTGTTCAAATGGATCTAAGTTATAATAATGTGTTCTCTCAAATAAAATGGATAATTGAGGAAGAACACTTAATCGTGAACGAAGATGATGTAATGAAATATTATTTATATCAATACCATCAATAAGAATTTAACCATTGACAGATTGTCGATCAATAAGACGAAATATAGATTAGAGTACTGCACGGGTGCATTTTTTTTTCACCCGAAACCGAACCGGCACTTTTTTTCTGTACCCGAATCCGAACCAACCCGACAACTTCGTACCCGGATCCGAACCGGACCCGAATAACTCCACCCGGTACCCGACCGGCAGCTGTTTATAAATATAACGCACCCGGCTACCACTTTCGTGTACAATCAATTTTAAACTTTATTTCATATGAAAAAATATACAATCTACTTTGATAAATAAACGACAAAAATACTCAT